GCTAGGGAATAGAGATTAGGGTTATGCAAATGTTTTGTTCTCCAAATATTCCAGACAAAACTTGTGAAACGGAATGGGCTAGCTGAGAAATGTATTTTGAGGTTGGAACATGACGGGGCTGCTTTGAGTGTTCTGGCTATTCCTAGCCCCATGACTGGAACTGGCTGTTTTGGGGTGATAGGTTTACAACTTATATACAATCTATATACATTGTATAAATAAAATATTTGTCTGTTTGGTTTTCATATCTTTTAATGTATTGATTGTTTTAGCCTTGGTGTATGCCACCCAGAGTCACTTGCTGGCAAGATGGGCAGCTAAAGAAACTGTATAAACAAATAAATAAAATAAATAGACTGATGCGAGGAGGGAGCGTGAAAAGAAAATAGCCGTGCTGGACAAAAGAAAAAACTAATCCCAGCTGTATGGCTGCCAGCCAACCTGCCTCATAAATTACAGATGGGTAGGTTGCATCTCTCTCGTGGTTTATTTTATTTTATTTTATTTTATTTTATTTTATTTTTACAGGCTAGAAAGCAGGAGGTGGTGAGTTCTAGTCCTGCCTTACGCACAAAAGCCGGCTGGGTGACTTTGGGCCAGTCCTTCTCTCTCAGCCCAACCCACCTCACAGGGTTGTTGTTGCGGGGAAAACAGGAGGGAGAAGGAGTATTGGGTATGTTAACTGCCTTGAGTTATTTATAAAAATAATAAAAGCAGGATAAAAAAAAAAAAACCAAAACACACACGTATATGTGGTATACTGTTTTCACACATAAATCTGGCTAATGCTGCTAAGGTGCTATACTGTAAATATAAATGTAGCATTATTACAATATCGACTTGGTTGATTGTGAAAGTTTGGTGTGCTTGCTGTTGTCACTTGCTGATGCAAGCATTAGAATATACTGTATTTAAAATGCAACAGTTCTAGATTGGTCTGAGCTCATTTGCTCAGGTATGCATGTGCGTACTCTGTGCATGTTCTCATATTCGTTGTTATGAGGGTAAGGTTAGCCGTTAACTTTGCAACATCAACAGAACCAGCAGCAGCCCTTCTGCTGCGGCGGCTGCTTTTTCCTTGCAGACAGCGCCTATTCTTATGTACAAGAAAAACATCACTCAAAAAACAAATACAGCTGCTTTTGCTGGGCTTGTGCCTGGCAGGCAGGCTGCAATTTAAAAAAAAAAAAAAATCCAAATTTGTTCTTGTCCTTGCAAAGGACATGGGTGCCAGTAAAATTAATCAAGGACGGGATTTTCAAAAAAATCAAAAAGGAACGGTGCCAATTAAAAAGAGATTAAAGAGATTAACTCCGGTCTTTCTCCTATAATCTGCTGACCGAGTGACCCAAAGGGTTTATTTAAATTAAAAAGACCTCAGTCTATCATTTCAGACGATAACAGATTCTAAGGTAAACAGACGTTTCAGTCAGCAAGAGCTGTGTTCCCGTTATTTTTTATAAGAATTTATCTTAAGGTCTTCAAAATCATCCTCTTCATCTAATTTTCTGCAATTTGAGTGGCAGTTCATACTCAGCACGGACCTCCGCTGTGGCCTGAGGGTGAAAAACAAGGGAGTGCAGTTTCCTATGGCCAAAAAACGTGAAACATTCTGATACAATAGAGAACACTCAAGGCTGTTCCAATCTTCTTCTTGGAACCTTTCAAATGGAGCTGTTTATTCTGATCTCGAGAAACCACGCTTTTTCATTGAATGCACATGCCTAATATAGATCAGCAATGATAATAACCAACATACTAATAGACGCTCCAAGTTTTGCCACATCCTGGGCATATTTATCTGGCATTAATCAGGAAACGGGTGTTTTCCATTGTTGCACCCCGTCTTCCTTGTGGTTAATCCCAAAAATAAAGCATGCACCAACCTTATCAAATTTAAGTTCATCCTGAAAGCAATGGCTTTCATCTGGGCATTTGGCACTTCCCAAGGGTATTGGATATTGGTTATATTTTTAATTTATTTTATCAAATGTATTAGTTTTACTGTATATTACATTGCATGGAATGCATTTTAATGTTATGCATTGCCTAGAAATGCTTTGCATTACTAACAGTATTTAGATGATGATGATGATGATGATGATGATGATGATGATGATAATAGCAGCAGCAGCTACTACTACTACTCCATAGCTCAGCTCTTGTTATAATTCTCTTTAGTAATGTATCTTGCAAAGATGACTTCTGATCTTTCAAACACTGTGGCCACTGCATTGGGGAAAGTGACAATGTCCCCCAGTTTAGCATGTTGTGTTCCTTTGAGCCAGTTTTTGACTCCTGGCAACTGCCTGGACTACTCCCTGCAGTTTTCTTGGCAAGATTTTTCAGAAGTGGTTTGCCCTCGCCTCCTTCCTAGGGCTGAGACAGGGACTAGCCCAAAGTTACCCAATGGCCTTTGTACCTAAGGTGGGCCTAGAATTCGCAGTCTCCCGGTGTCTAGCCTGGTGCCTTAACCGCTGCACCCAATTGGCAAGGGGCTACAGAATGTCACTTCCCAGCCCAGCCCAGCCCAGCCCAGCCCAGCCCAGCCCAGCCCAGCCCAGCACAAACACTCTACATACCCGCACATACCAGGTGGCTGTCATTGCGAGCAGCTTCATAGTAGCCATCTCCACACTCAGAACAAAAGGGACCACCATAGCCAGTCTGGCACATGCAAAGACCAGTGCCCCCACGTGTGCCTTCACCATCACATTGCCCATATCCACTGCAAGGCTTCTGGGTACCCCCAGGACAGGCTGCAGAGAGATGGAAATCAGATGTGGAAACCATCATGCAACTTGGCTCTACTCTGCAGTGGTCAGATTTCTCAACTCACATCTCTTCTCCCCATTCCAGATACCTATCTTTTGCAGTGTTCAGAATTTTACTTTACTTCACTTTTCAAACTTTGTTTAAAGTTTCTAATTCACCCCACCACTTCAAGCTGACCAGCTTCCCTTAACCCATGGGGTGACCCATTCATTCATTCATTCATTCATTCATTCATTCATTCATTCATTCATTCATTCATTCATTCATTC